CTGAGTCCTACCCAGCTGCTCCAGCATACGGATACTCCACCCCWGCTCCGGCCTACGGATACTCTACCCCCGCCCCAGCCTACAAGCCATCGTACGCTGCTCCAGCATACAAACCTTCCGCGTACAAACAGTACTAATTCCTCTTTAACCCTAAGAAATGAATATTATAATTTATTGTATTTTTATGTAAATAAAATTTCAATTTGTCTATAACTCTGTGTTTTAATGTAACTAATTGTTTTTCATTTCCTAATCGTTCTGATAACTCTGCCTAAATAAAACATAATATTGCATTTTTATGCCCAGTGTCACTGGTGTCAAGTATTGTGACAGTGTGTTAACAATATAACAGTAAGTCTCAAAGTCTGTAATACGGTTGTAATATTATGACTTATCTTGTTATACAGATATTCTCGATTCAAATAAAGTAATCAAAATGTATAATTTTCTAMGATACTTTTGACATACAACTTTTATGTATAATATTGTTGAATACATCTAACATAATATGATGCTCAAGTCAGTAAGAAAATAAATAAAATACAATTTAAGCCGACATAGGTTGAACTATTTAAATGATAACGTTATGATAATGTTTAAAATAAATCGAAAAATATTAGTATATTACTCAACATCGTGTTAATCGCGTTGAGTAATATTATAATACAAGTGTTTGAAAAAAAAAAAACACTAACTTAAAAAAAAAATTTTTTTTAATCATAGGTAGGTTAGTAGGTAACTAATAAATCTCTTAACTACATTATCTGTTGTTTATATGGTGATAAGTATTCGCTTAATTTTCGGTTGTTGTCTTTCAAAAATAATTTATAACAATCGTAGCGTGTTGCGTGTGGTCAATTATTATTTATTTGATGGATACAAAATATCGTTTTCAGTTTACTTTGTTGAAAATMGTTCAAATAAATTACTGTATAACAGACTACAGCACTTATGGTTTGTTCGACGGTTAACATATTCGAATTTCATTGTGACTAATGTACTGTGTGCGATTTATTGCTTTTACTTCAAAAACCAAGATGAAATACTATGTAGTATTTGTAATTGATCTTTACAATATATGTATTTTAGTATGGAATATAAAAAATATACTTAGTTGTTATTCGTATTAATATGTAGGAAATGAAGTGAAATATAAATAATGAATGCTTCAATTAGATAAAATTAGTCTAATTAATACCTACAAAATTAAAACAAAAACATAAAATTACCAAGCTTAATATCTAAGTTTTCGAGTGCAAGAATAGCTACAGAATATTTAAGTGAAATATTGAGACTTTATTAAATTTAAGACCTTAATCATACTATGATTAAAATAACACATTTTTTTATATTATGTTAATGATTTATAGTTCATTTTGAAATTTAAATAGTAATTTATTTTTAATTATTTCAATATTTATATTTGCAACTACAATTTTTTTTACAGTAGTCCATAACTTTATTTATAAAACAATTTACTACTTAATATCTTATTATTAGATAATATCCAATGTGTATGTACATAATTATTATTGTGTGGCTCATATTATAAGATCAAATAGTTTTTAAAAATTAAAATATTAAAATTTAAAAATTCATATTTAAATTAAATTAAATCAATAATAGAAAACATTGTTTGTTAAACTTGGGTTTCAAGGTCTTATAAGTATGCTTTGCCCTGTTAGTTACACAAAGTCTTAATTCATACATTTGAAAAAGTAGAATCAAGTTTAATTTTAATTTTTTAATTTATAAAAGCAATTTTTAAGTAATAAAGTAAAAATTGTAGGAATACCAAAAAATGTATTCCCTACACATTTAACTATGCGAACTCTATGAAACCTTATAATACGCCTACGTCATAGTGTTACTTTTCCAAGGTAAACTATACACGCACCAATAATGAATATGTTGTAGGACCTGTTGGTCAGAAAGCGAATCTCAATGAATCATTTTTTTAATTAGGCCAACTTGACATTGTAGTTATAAACATTTATAATTGATGTTATTAAAACGATGTTGTAGCATAATATAATTGAAAAAAAGCCTTAACACGGTATAACAATTTTTAGAGTGATGATAATTTCTACATTATATTTATTTTAATAACATTTCATCATCAAAATTACTAAAAATAAAATTTTTTATGAACTACCTAGGTATTTTTTGAAATCAGTAAGTTTTTATTTTCTATAGACCAAAATCAAATTAAGTTGCATAGCATTTTTTAAATTAATATGGAACTCTATCGAATTCTCTTGTAAACAGAATAGACACGTATATAGAAATGTATAAAAAGTAATTGTGCACTGTAGAGAGCCCCAGCCTAAGTCTTAGGTCTTAAAAAGATATACAAACAAAGAAAATTATTGTAACGCATCGCTCTTCATCAACGACTATTCATCATTATTATATAATATAATGCAATACTAGACCGTCTATCGGTTATTGAGCGGTCTCGGTGATTCGTCGTTAACGATGTTTGAACCAACATTGTAGACTCATTAGAATTCAGCCTATTGATAAACCATGATAATATTTAAGATAATGGGAGTGGAATAAGAAGTAAAAATATATTGGTTTCACAATAATTGTTTGAATGTTTTTTTTTTAAATTTCAATAGGAATAAAAGTAAATATTTAATTATTCAAATTTAATAGATATTTAATGTAATACCTAGTTACTATACATTAGTAATTGATTTATAACTAGTTATAAAAAAATTTGAAATGGACATGAGGCCAATTTTAAAACAAAAAAGCCATACGCACAAAAATGGTCGTAGGCAGATAAAGGCAAATCGAATTTATCGTGAAAAACAAAATTGCTAAAACAATTTAATTTACATTCTATACGAAAACGAAAAGGCGATTGATTTCCGTGACCTACATAATACGGGATCTCGAGTCGTGCAGTATTAATCAATGACGTAAATGATTAATAAGATAAACAGAATAATATAATGATTATAATTATTTTACATACACAGTTAAAATATTTTGACTGTAACGCCTATTATGTTGAGATGTGTTGTAATAAAAGAGTGCTCAGTGAGTAAGTACTTCGCTCTGTGACGCTCCTAAAGTATTAGCAAATACGTCAGCTGTAGACCCGCTCATTATCGAATGGTTAGTTTCTAGGCATTTGAGAGGAAACCAAAGTTTTTTTGAATTCTGATAGTTGTGAAAAATCTTGTTGTCCACCAATGCATTAGTAATAATTATTACAATTATTATAGACAGTCAACTGTTTACTGCATTWRAAATACCGTAACAACAGACAGACTCGAGGAGGTGTAATACATTAATATCATATAATATTATCGTAATTTTTTTGTTTATGATAATATATACATTTTTTTTCAAACTGTCGTTAGAAGTAAAAATAATAATAATTCATATAAAACGACGAAGATGAAGTAACATATAAACTACAAATAGATTGCTCCATATACGCTGCTGGAGCAATCGTTATTTTAAAAGCCTTCGAATATTCGCTGGAAAAACAAAATAACAACTTCGTCATCATAAGCGATTCCCTTAGCTCAATAACAAGCTAGTCCCTAACCTAACCTAACCTAACCCAATGACATATCAAAGAAGATTCATATCGCCATTTTTGCTCATCATGCCAGAGGAAATCTCAAATTAATGTAGATTATAGGCCACTCATTCATAAAAGGTAATGAAAAAGCGTGTCAGCTAGCTATAAAAAAAATGGCATTAACAGCCCCCCCCCTCCAGGTAATATCGTAAACATATCCACTCAAGATGTTCAACTGAAAATAAAACTTATTTCAGCACAATCCTGGCAAAATCTATGGTCCATACGAAAGACCAAGCTAAATTAAATTAAGCAAACCACTCTACATTGGCCGAATAACCACTCAAACCGAAAAATATAAACCGTCATTAACAGACTCGGAATTGGACACACCAGACTCACCCATGGTTACCTGATTTCTCGAAACGAACCCCCCACATGCTCGTTCTGTGATGTAAATCTGTCAATCAAACATAAATGATATAACATGAAGCAAGGGACCGTAATCAACTATCTGAAGACTTATTTGAAAGCCTTGGACCTAACCTGTAAGTCCCCAACATAATATTATTTCTCCAGCAAACCGGATTGGACAAGCTGATTTATATTTTAATCAGAATATCCAACCATGTCTCTGTTTTTTTTCTTGTTTACTATTAGTTAAATGTTAATGTAATGTATAAATGTAATATTGCGTCCAATTATATAAGCCACAGTTACCGCGACTGTTTTTATTGAAATAATAATAATAATAATAATAAAAAAAATAAAAATAATATTTAGTCATATAAATGGGACTATTTTTAGTATGTACATAGACCTAACTGGACGTCCCCTATACACACTGTCATAGGTTGACAAGTGTCATCCAGTTAAAAATAGATGGCCAATACCTCTGCAGTCTATATAATAACACGATGGGGCAACGTATGCTATCTTTTTCTAAAAATGTTGTTTTTTTAATGGTTAAACTCCTTTCTCTMTTTTATTATTAATGGTTATACTTCTAAAGATGGATTAAGACGTATGTAATCTTTGTACAACAGTATCGATCCTCTAGGCGTCTCTATCTTTATTTGTTCATTTATTAATAAATATATTATGGAGCTAGAAGGTTCTGATTCGCACTTAAGTGTTATAATTATAATTTACCCTTAAAACCTATTGTACATTGAATGACATCATTCATTGGAATTTATTTAATACTTGGTCAATTATTTTTTATTGTTGAATTTTTTTTTTTATTTCTTATTAAATTAGCTATTGATAATAATTGACTTATCTTAATATGAGTACCACGTTAAAAATAAGTTGATAACATACGCCCATGTTAATAGATGTTATATAAATCCACTTAAAAATAAATTGCGCCTACATTTATCAAGATGTTATATCAAATGCATTATTTTTATAAGTATAGTATTTGAGAACTTCACTGAGTACCGATGATATTTTGTAACAGTATAATAAAATAAATTAAAACATTAATACATCTGTTACGAAATCGAAATAATCATTTCGTATTAATGAAGAAATCGATTTTAATAATAGAAGGATTGACGTCGGTATCGCGTTCCTTTACAATATTCTCCA